GATAGCGGATAAAACACTTGCTCAAAAACTAATAAAACTCGAAAACCAAACATTCCTAACCAATGTAAATACACGAGTATAAAACCAAACGAAGACTCTAACGTAAACACAGCGACAGACGTGCTGAACTGGCTGAACGCTGAAGTCTGTTACAATATCAAACACTCAGAATAGCTTGGAGTGTATATGGAGTGTTTGCCGTTCTCATACAAACAACGTCGAGCGGCTCATTCTACAAAATATATACAAAGTTTCCTTCGTTGCGAACACCACGAATATGAAACTGAAAGTAGTAAAAATAATGGTTTTGAAAGTATTGGTTTGATTTCTTGTCAATTTATTTCGGATTCACCCACAAGTGAAGCATAATAGCTTTGACTAATTATTAAGTATAATATCGTTAGGGTCTGAAGTGAGTCCTTCCCACAATAGCTCTAGCCAATTATAAAGCATTAGGCTATTTAGCATAAAGTTTTCATTAGAGATTAAGACATTTCAATTAAATTTATGTCGAGGGCGGTGTTTTTACGTTATGCATGGTTTTTAATTTATATTTTAAAATCTTTGACCAAATACACCATATGATTAGAAACATTATCTTATTTCTATTACATAAATGAACAAACAGGAAAGCACGTGCAATATGTCCTTAAAGAAAAGGAGTACAAAATAGTCTCAACATCACCAACACGAATCAACCGCCAACAATTCAGATTTTAAAGTAGGGTAAGAAGTTGATTTACTTTATTTAAGTCAATGATCTAATTAAACTGAGGGAAATGAGTGCATATACGTCTTGCCCCAAATGATAAATAAAATTTGTTCACTACCGTACCATTATTTAAGCAAACTAATTCCCCAAACGTAAATTTCATGGCGAAACAACTATTAGATTAGTTGCAAAACAAATTCAAAACTTGCTAGAAATGTATTTTGCCCATTTAAATTACTCCCTTTTTGACGCACGCGAACGCGCTATGGAATCTTGTTTATTAGAGGCAACGTTTGTAATTTGCCCACCTTTATATACTTCCCTAATCAATCCCGTGCTTAATCACGTGGCAGTTGTCATATAATTATCAGCTGATTTTGTTGTCATACTTAACAGCTGATAAAAACCGGATTAATGTAGAATCAACTGTACAGTACTCGAGTAGCCTACCTGTAATTTAGTAGGTAGTTGACATTAACCAAAAATCGAGTGGAGTAGTAACAGCTACTTAAAATACTGCATGTAGATTTTTTTATTGTAAAATCTGAAGCTAGTTCTTATGTTTGTGTATTTATTGTCCGGCGAACTTGAAGAATGTTTTTAGTAATTAAATGTTTCAATTTTGTTTTAAAGTAAATTTACAAAGTATATTTTATTATATATCAATAAACAAGTATATAGATTTTTTAAATAGGCCTAAGTTATTTTAGAAAAAAGGTTAAAATTATTTAATAGTTGGTGTTGGTAAATATGTGGCTAACACCAAACGGACATTTACGTAGCCTACCTTAAGATATTTTAGCGGGTCCATAGGTATGACAAATCTATAAATTAATGCGGTCCACAATCTATTTAGGTCCTCGCCTATCAAAACGTTGATAAAAGTAAAAGTGCGCTACTATCAAAATTATTTTTTCAAAAAAATGTTTTAACATTTTAACCCCACTATCTCCATTTACTCTTAAGTAATTATGGCTCACGATGCTGAATCATTCAAATTTCTGTTATTGAACGTCCACTATCTCAGATGGAAAGATTGAATAGCAAGCGTACTACAGCCATTGTATTACTCATATGCTATGGTCCATTATAATCACTTAATAGCTTTCAACGATTGCGATAAGCCGGTGATAAGGTAATGGCTCTTTGTCAACCATATTGTTCTGCAACGATCTTTAAATTGAAATTCTTTACTTAACTATTCAAGTTCATGAGGGCTATTATTGCTGGTGCCTGCAAACGCAAAGCTAGAAATATACGATTTCGATGACAAAATACAAGTTCCAAACGATTAATAAAGATGTTTCTAAATTGTACATTTACAACTGTTGGGCATATGACATATTATTATAGAGGAGTTTTCTACAAAGGTCCTCCTTTCTCGGAACCTATCATCTTTTTTCCTACATAAGTAGAAAGTAGACCAGCAGCATGAAATGATTTTTGAAACGATCGGTTTGTGTCGCGGTCATATCAAAGCTAAAAGCAATTGTTGATTTGGTGAATTTGAATCCATGTTCTCCTGAGTATAAGTTAGACGATTTAACCGTCTAACCAGAATGTTAGACTATATGATCTAAAAACCGTAATAAAAAAAATTGAAATTTAAAATCATTAAAATGTCCTTTATTTTACAAAGCATGAAAAGGAGGAATTTTAAATTATACAGTATACATCATTCAACCCAATACGAGAGTTAGTTGTAGTAGAGGCAAGTGAGCACTATGCCTCTTATCTGTGTTTTTAGCTAAAAGTGTTAAATAATTTTAGTACAATTTGACAAGAAACGTACAAATTTATAGTTTTTACCGCTGCCAGTCCACTTGTATCTAATTGAAGTCAACATCTCCATAAATTTGAACAATATTTAAATAAACCGTCAACAACAAAGCAATATTAAACATTATAGTCTACACCTCCCCACTTAATTTACTCCACTTTACAACTTCAACTGTAGTACAGATTACGTTAGAGAAACCATCATCTGGGAAACATCAACATGTCTTGAAGCTGTTTCGCTTATCAGTGTGATAAACTAATACCAGATAATTGCCGCAGCCACTTCTCCATTTTGGCGTTGGACATGTTATACGGTTGCGAGTTCAATAAACGCTCGTTAATCCGAACCTAAACCAATATGAACTTCAAGAGATCCCACTTAATCCGTACTTTATGATATAAGTTTCTAAGCATTTCATACAGCTTAATGCACAATAATTGTCACAAAACGTGTTTGCTATGTACTAGCATTGACTATAACAGAAAATTCGGTGTATAGTCAATGGTACTAGTTTATTTAGTTTGCTTTCCGGTGATGAGTTTTGTTTCTGGTCCAAAAGAAGGATTGTTTCAACGCATCCGAAATATCGACTAATATCTTCTGCAGTACCAACGACGCAGTCATCTCCCAACGAGTCAAAGACCAAGATTTGACAACTAGAACTTGAAAATCTACCTTGAAATAAATATACAATTTGCCTGTACCATTGACTATACACCTGTACGTAGCGAAAAGCTACGACGATTTCGGTAGTATTTTTATTTTCATATTTACAGCATAAAAATTCCAACTCAAACTTTACTAGCTGCATTTCTATCGGCGACGCTCAAGATGTAACTCTCAATAACTCTATAACTCGCTGTACGCTTCCTACTCCCGGAAAACTAGAATTCCGATCAAAATTGCTTCCTGTATTTACTAAATGTACGCTTATTTCAATCTGTATTGTCCATAAATGAATCAACGAATGTCCAAACCCCCAGTTTTGTGCAGTACAGTATTGGTTACATTGTCTTCTAGTACATAATAATCTACCAAATTGCAATCAGCTTTTCAAGAAAGATTCTTGCTAAAAGTCACTGAATTATTTTTGGCTATAAACTGTTGCGTTGCGGAAAGTATACAAAAATACTTTTCGTGGAATAACACATAGATGATTAAGAAGTTATTACCAAGTAAATTTTTCGCAACAGAATGGTAAAGAGTGTTTTACTTAACTTTGTGGTTCAATAAGTCCCTATAACAAAATGTTGATATAGTGAGACGGGTTTCAAGAGTAGCTTTTAAGAACCATTTTCTTCCCCTCTACGTCCTACAGCATTGCGATACGCGGACAATACTCAGTTCTATTGTAATACTCTGTACTAAACTCGAAAGGCCAACTGTTAACACGAATGCAGTGAATATAATTACAAACACATGTGCAACCTCCATGTTCTGCTAAAGTATATGGCGCTATCGAGAGCAATACATATTCAGTGGAATTGTAAAGCTGCCAAAACAGTTCGTACTCGTTGCAGTGGTTTGATATAATGAACTGCAAAATAACCTTCAATAAGTTACAGTATATTTTGCCGATTACGTGTTCACAAAAACAGATAATTTGCCATGAAAATTGATTAAAGGTCAATCATTTATCTAAGAATAGATGATCCATAAAATTACACAATTTACTAGATCGAAACATTGTCTTGTTTTCTAGGTTGTTCTTTTTTAAATTGGATTCCACGCTTGTTGGTTATAGAGCTATTTGGGCACCAATAAATGGGTTTGAATTTTAAAAAAGTTATCAAAGCTACAAAATACACTAATTTTTTATTCATATTTGGGTTAAAATTCACCTTGGTTACAGGTACTTATTTGAAAATTAATTGTGATTCGAGATATAGTTTGTTGTCTTCAATGTTATTCTTAAGGAGAGTAAGCTATTTATAGAGGTTTCTCAATTATGTGCCACCCCTATTAACTAGACAAACTTATTTATTTCGTTGAACGCTTTTGCCTTAAAATAAAAACAGCAATTGTTTGGATTTGTAGGGGGAATGCTGCACGGAACCTAAGAATATACTGGGGGTGGAAGTATATTTACTTATCTATGAACCTGTAATAATGAAAACTAAATTAAGCAACTACAAAATTATCTAAGTGTGCAGGTTTGCAGCGATATGGGACTATAAACTTTAAAACACGGGTTAATTAGTTTGTTATCGAAATTTGCACAATTTAGTTTTCCCAATGACATCCAATGTAACATAACGGGTCATACCGATTGAAAAATAAAACATTTTCTGAATGCGGCATACATGATACACTAATTAACAACTTGTTATATTTATAATATTTGCAATAGCTTTAAGGCACCTGCCTTACATTCAAAAATGGTATTTAATGCCCACTAATATACTTAGCATTGTTAGTGTTGTGTGTATAGTGTAATTTATTATGATTGCATTTCCACAATATAGGTAAATTGCACTAATTAATTTGATAACACCAAATCAAACGCACCACACATAAACATCTATGCACTATTTACATCACTATCACTGCCACAAACTTGCTCGGATTAAAAAACAATAAAAACGTCACAATAAACACTCCACTGTAAATAAACGGTGCGAAATATTCCACGACCGACTGAATCTGAATCTACTTTGGCACGTTACAATCTGGACTAATAATAACGCGCCGGTAACACCATCTATCGGCACATCCGTGGACTGCAACGCGAACAGCTGATTGTCGTCTGCACAGTATGGTGACGCAGAGCATCATGGGACGTGTTTATCTGTCAATATCAGCTGATTGGTGATGACAATGCCACAAAGCTATTATGAGAAGGAATGCAAAGAACATTGTCAGTCATATTTGAAAGAATTATCTCCGTGATTTCATATCTTTCGCTTTAACCTAGAAATTAATATTGTTTAGGTTAATGCTGAAATGATTGGACTGATTGAGCTATCCAGCAGTGTGCCAGTAGCATTTGAAAGTTTAAATTTAAAAAAGCACTGATTAAACCATTAATCTAAAATAGGCTATCGGTACTTACTTATTATCCTTATCAACTAAATATAATTTTAAGTTTTATTGTGGTTTACACTTAGTTAATTTGAGGTCTTATATTAAATTTTAAGTTACTTTTGTTAACTTTCAAATCATTAATACAAGTAAATTCTGTTCTTGTGGCATCATAACCAATAATTGAGTTGCGCAATTTAAAACTACAAAAATAAGAAGAAAACATACGTAATCAACACACTCAAACGTTAATGCATGTAAAACACAGGAAAAAAATGTTGGAATACAGTCTACCAACAGATCATCAGCTAGTTAGTCCTACTAATTAGGATCACCCACTTGGACCCAATATATACATTCCATTGTGAAATCTTAAGCTTAGCAACGTGCATCATGTTCGGTAATGCTGAAGTCCGAAGTTGACTAAATTGTTCAAGATTTTATGACTTAATTTTAGGATCACGTGGCAAAAATAACAATCTAAATTAATAAAAAACAAAGTTAAAAAAATTTTATTCCCATTTCCGTGTTTATAATTCAATGGTTAACTTATAGGTACGTATAGCATTATACATAAAATTTTATATTCAAAGGCATCAGAACTATCTAAGGACAAAGATTACAATAAAATATTTTTTGATCAAAATTCTATATAATTAATTATACACATATAATGTGGACTTTAACAAGACAGTAAATAGAACTATCTATAAAATATTAGAATAGTGATCAATGTGATAGGGTTATAGGGATAAAGAGTATCCTTGTATTTATCATTAACACATACAATGCGATAAAAGGTTTATATTTATTTTACTATGAGTTAATTTCCCGATGAAAAGCACAAATTGTATTGAGATACAGATACAGTACAGTACACTAGAACAGTTCTAGTTTGAACAGTACCTAGATTGTTATTCTTATTGCAGTACAGTGGTGCTATCTATGGACGCCCTCATGAACTAAATGCCCATCTATCTACAAACAGCACGTTGTAGCTTACTCATCACGTTGTAGCTTACTCATTTATCAAATGCAATCACTCGACCTTGGCCCTTCATTACCTTAGAATTGAAAGAGTCTAGACACTTTAGAAACGCACTGTATCATCTTAGTTCTAAATATTTAAAATGAGTTTAGATACTGCTAGTAGACATGCTAATGTAAGGTATAATCATTGATGTATATAGTCTAACTATATTAGACTATATATATAGCCATTTCAAAGAAAAGTATAAAGTATACATTGATGGGTATAATAACTACTTGTGGAGGGCACTAATGCTATATTTTAAAGTGTGTTATATTTTTATGTTGCAGTTTGGCTTCATTGAAAAATTCCTGGATACGACAGGAATCAGGAATTGACAGCACCACTATCTATTGGAGTCTCAAAAGATATTTGTTTGACAGAAATCAGAATGCTTCGATTTAAATATGGGCAACCTGGGGACGGAATGTCAAATTTTATTTGTATCGTAATAAGCAAGATTATAGATATTATTGATAACCAGTCAGTCTGATAATGTGAGATTCTTTATCTGTTGACCTTGAAATAAATGTCAGATTCTTACCTGTTGAAAGGAATACCAAAAAAAATCTGCACCAACACAAACTCAACTAAGCACATTGTATTAACAAGATATCTGGCATCCAAAGCTAAACTCTTGATCCCATACTCAGAAGTAGTTGATTATAAGAGTTGATAGTTTTAACACTAGGTCCTTGATAATTTTCTATCCTCCACTAAGTTAGTTAATGCTTTCTTAAAGTAGGTAGATTGTTAAACAAGGTTATGATTGGCGCTATTTACTTACAGAAGTTTTGAAAAGCCACAAACATTGATGGAACAATATTGGATTACTCCCATGGTTAAAGATTTTGCAAAGAAGTTGTGTAATACACTGAAAATGGTTACCAACAAATCAGTTATCTTTTATGTTTTGATTTGTGTAAAAATGAAAAAGATAAAGTAAACTTAAGTAGAAAAGCCCATGGCCTGCTCCAATAGCTTTTAAAGAATGCATAAGTAATTATAATTTAGATGAGCGTGAAAAATAAATAAACCCTTAGAGAAGCTCACAAACAGGTTCTCACAGGTTGACAAATAAGGACATGGATAATATCAGTAAACTGGATTCAGCATAGCTTTATAAAAATATATTATATAAATATTTTGTGGAAAAAACAATATTCAACATAAATCAAGTTTGATTATCAAAAAAACAACCACTTTTGTTATCAGATACTTGAACTGAAGAGAACCAGTCATGAAAGTATTCTACAGATAAGGTGTCAAAATAACATAGAGTGCCAGTAATCAGTGGAAAAATCAATTTTTTGTTAAATAAATAACAATATAAGTGTAACCTTTTCAAAGTAATGAATAAGAATTAAAAATAATTGAATGAATGCAAATTTGTATGTTTGATTTGAGTATATGATCAGATACTCTTATGAGGTGAAATAAGATGATTGTTTAATCTTATTAAAGTATAGGCCTATTAGTTGAATTATGGATAAAAAAATGTATATTTTCTTTCACAAATGAAGGATAAAGTTTTTAAGTAAAATCGGAGGGGTGTTTCTATATTTCAGCAGAATGGAAAGATACACCATCCTTTGGCCTACTTCTTGTTTAGGTAAAAAGCAAACAAAAATTTAACTTTAATCTAAAATTCATAGAACTACATTGCTTAGCAGAATAGGATGAATAACAAAATATTCCACAAAATTTAAAACATTCTTCAAACATAATCACTACCGGTAGGTATACTTCATAAGAAATCATATTTTCTTGAACTCAGTTAAACACCATGAAATGTTTGATATTGGTCAATACACAACAAATATTTTTACTAAGTAAGTATTACAATGAATGCCAGTAAGAAAGCGACGTGTAAGAATACCGCTATAAAAATCGGCAAGCTTCAGAAATCTGCTAACATCCAACAACAAAGAGAAGTCAGTTATGCAAGACGGAGAAAGTAAATCCCTTCACCGCAACATCTTAATATGCGGATGATGGCTGGAATGAATGGTATCCATCTACTGCAACTGCCTTACTGTCTACAAACAAACTTCAGCATGTTTTGATTCTCTGACCTAACCACAAAAGAAAGTCTTATGAGATTTTCAAGACCCCATCAATTCCCAGGAAGCACACCCTTAAAAGAATGTTTCAAGATTTCTTAAATTCCCTGCCAAAGTAAACAAAATAAGAGGACTTCTAAACTTTGTTGAATCTCTGACCCATTCTTTTTTTTTTAATTCAATCACCAAGAAATAATAAAAAAATAAGTTAGGCCTATCTTGTAACAAAAAGTTGATACTTTGGCTATCAATATTTTTTTGTAGATGTTTAAAGATTTTCAATATTTCAAAGAAGGGTTTCAAGATTGCATTGATTCTCTGACTGATTAAAAACTTAATTTATGTTAATCAGAGTTCAATCAGCGACCACAGAATTAAAATTTTAATTCTGTAGTCTCCCTGGTTCAATATCAATGGTTTGGCATACAGGGATTTATATGCCTGTGTATATCTGCCGTGCTAAGCACAAAGGGGGTATCTGCAATTTTTGGCTATATTGAGATATTGATACCTACTAAAACAGCTTGATTTTACCTATCAGTTACTAAGGTATTTTAGCCGTAACAACAAATAATTTCCTTTAAAAAAGTATTTTTTAGTTAGTCGTATCTGCACGAATGACATGTTTTACTAGGGGATTTTAGCTGTAAGTGACATTTACTAAGCAATAAAAGTCGCATCTGCTGTAGATACATCTTATTCCCTTATTAATACGTACATACAACTTTTATATCTTAGTAAAGTAGCAGTTGCCACCTTTTTGCTTTAGTATGTTGGCAACATTCTCACATGTTTGCAAGAATTGTTTGTTCTAGTAACTAACAAAATTAGATGATCATGCAGAAAACGAAAAGGAAAAGAAAGACGAGACAGGCAACAAGATTATCTAAACACTTAAGTATAAGAAGCACCTTTAATTGAACCAATTGCAATCAACAAAATTTATTTGTAATTTAAATTTAAAAAAAAATCATTACGCTATTTAAATTAATTTTTTTGTAATAAAATATAAGCACTTTCAGGCAATACCTAATTAAAATTTATCATACAGGCTAGGTACCTACTCTTTTTAACTTTACAATTACCGGTACTAAGCTATTTTTTATAGTTATAAGTTATCGGTAACATTAACAGTTTTGCTTACTCTTTTATAAATATTCCTGTAATATGTCTGTACGTTTCCTGAAATATTTGTTCCTGAGAAAAGTCAGTAGCTTTTTGATGGTTCGAAACTGGACCCAGCTGTTCCTGATCATTGGGCTTTAAATAAATGATCCTGGCTAATGAAACAGCTGATCTTAGTCAGTAACAAAGCTACACAGATCATCTCACACCATTCTACACTCACCCTTCACTCATATTTGGGTTAAAATACGCACCTAAGTGGCGTCCCCATCTTAATGATTGATAATAATTGATAGCCGTCCATATCTACGAGATGTGGTTCAGGTACAAGCAAGGAGAGGTATTTTCCATCTCCTCTACTAAACCTCCTATGACGATGAAGAGTGG